TATATATATATATGTATATATATATTGTTATTGTTTCTTATACACATGTATATGGCATATACATATGTATATAAGTTTTCTGTATAAATTCTTTATTTTACTATTAGAATTGGAAATGTTAATATTCGTAATAATCATATGACATGAAGAGATTTTATAAGAACTGTAACATAAATTAGTACTTCATTACTTTTAATTAATAAATTTATAATTATTCATATATTATCGTATAATTTACTATTGTAAAAATTGTAATATTTATATGCAATTGTTATAAAACTGGGAAAAATTATAGTATACATAAAAACTAATGATTCAGAATCAAATTCACTTCCATATTCATATTTAATAAAACAAGTTTACTTATCTTTTAACATATACATTAACTCCATCGCTTTCATAATTTACATGTTTAAGATTTAAAGGCCATTCTACATTGGTCATCACGTATCATGATGTCGCAAGTCACAAGCTTGTTGTTTTAGCCAATCCGACAATTTTAATGTCAATTTTAAAGTCACATGATGCTTATAATACTATCGACGCTATGATCGACCAATGTAGAATGGCCTTTATATTACAATATAATATAATGAATAATCATTTACTGTACAATGTTTTTTAATTTTAAAATAAAACATTTTGATCTTGAATAAATATCTATTAGATATTGAATAGATCAGACTACATACAGAAAGGTATTTAAGAAACTTGCAAATGTTTGTTGTAATTTTATGTATGTGATATTACAGTACAAAGAAGATAGATGTTCATAACAAGATCATTTTTCTTATATTTTTTTCTAGTTAAATCAATTTATCTGACCCTGTCTTTTAGCTGCCAGAATATTTTCATTGGCAGTTATTTGAAACTCTTGAAAACGTTGAGATATCCTCTGGTTCATTTTCAAATATTTTTCCATACAATTAAGGGCGCATTTCTCTTCTTTGGCTCTGATTTCTCGCGTAGTGAAGTCAGATATGCAGTCGATAAAGCAAATTTCAGAAAGCTTATTATATGAGGTTAAAAAGTCTCGAAACTGTTGAATATAAATAGTATTCAGATTATATTATACATGTAATAGTTCATCATCTCATTGAAGATATATATACATATATATATATATATACATAAAAAACATAATGCTAGTATACTTTTAGTCAATTTATGGAACTAATGTTCAAGAATTAATACTAGAAATACGTACAGATTTAATCTGATCGACATCCACGTCGGTCGGGACTTGCATCGCCATTGTCAAAGATTAATATTTACACAAAATGTCTTTGTTAGTTTCTGCTTCTTTGTGTTTCCATAAATATCGCATCTAATTGCACCAGATCACACCAAATTCCGGCGATTTTGAGGTTAGGACAAACCCGACACGTGCGCACTATGTATGTGTGGAACGCTGAAAAATAAAACAGTGACAGAAATGAATATTCGCTAGATGCATGACACTCTCGCCACCTATCGGCCGTAAAAAAGTAAGCGATGTAGTTAACTCCCGTGTATTCTCTACTGTCGTCCAAGCTGCTTTTTATTCTTCATTTTTATAGATATTCAGTGCTTTTATTGCAAAACAAAACGTCTTTAGTCTTTTTTTTTTCTTATGTATTCGGTTCCTATTGGCGGTTCCTATTCTTAAACTATTTCCATTCGTTTTGATTCTCGACAGTTGGCCACAGAAGTCTGTTAATAACTCGACCGTTTGAATGAAATTTTAAAATTATCGTTTGGTAAAATGCAGTGCGAAATGTTTCCTCAACATTATTTGTACAGATATCGTTCTCCAATTCGGCATTTTCAAACGCGTATATATTGATAGTCGTAAATACTGACGTTCTGTCACTTTCAATCGGCTTATCGATAGGATCAGCTATTTGAAAGAGGGGGAGAGAAGCGAAATCAGTTGGGAAATTCATTCGCGCGCGAGTTTCGGATCCAGCTGCTGCCAAGCTGCAGCTGCATTTAAAAGGTAAGTTCGCGGAGAAATTTTTGGGCGGGAGCCGAATGCGCGGTGAAAGTCAAACGACAACCAGGCTAATTAAACGATCATTTAATCGCCGTTTCTTCCGAACGGCGATTATTGGCGGATGTCCTGACGGCAGGAAACGAGCGACAGATGTGCCGTATCGATGATCGGAATCGAGGCACGAAAAAGGTCCGTGTTGTTGCCTGTCGTGTCATATTGACTGCGTTTGGCAGAAAAAATAGCTTTGCAACTATTAAAAGATTTATTTAATATGATTGATTTTTAGGCCCGACTTTTGCACCAACGTTACTTTAAGCGAGGTTTAAAACTCTCACTTTCTCTCTTTAAAACTGAGAGAGAGAGAGAGAGAGAGAGAGAGAGAGAGAGAGAGAGAGAGAGAGAGAGAGAGAGAGAGAGTTTTAAGCCTCGCTTAAAGTCGAGTAATGTTGATGCAATCGGGCTTTATATATTTAATTCCAGTGAAGAATTAAGGACAAGAAGCAATTATACTGAAAATCTTACAACAATTGTAAAGCTGTTTTTTCTATTGAATGCAAGTCATTATTTTCGAATGATGATATCGAGCTATATTGGCTACATTTGCAACGTGAATTTAGGCCTGTATTCCAAATTCGACCTAAATTATTTAGGTCTCTCGCCGTTAACACTTGATCAGACCTGGGTAGCGATCTGTAACTTTTTCGCTAGAGCGGAAACGCGACAAGGAAAAATTCTTTGTATGTATGTGTATATATGTACGAACATCATACATAAAAATTGTTCCCTGTCACATTTCTTCGTCCAAGGGAAAAATTTATATGATCGCTACTCTGTAAGTCAGGCTTCGGTTTTTGGTGACTTGATTTGAAATAGGTCACCTATAACCTGAAATAGATCGACTTACCATCATTTGTTAATCTCAAATTGACATACAGGGTGAATCAGAGTTGAACCAACTTTTTATCCTATGAGAAAATTATCGACTTCATACCTAATTGAATTATAACGTGTGCAGTTATTCAATTATTTTCTCATAAGGTAAAAAGCTGGTTTGCGACTCTAATTTATATCATTGGTACAGTGATCAAATTTTCTTAAAGAAAATAAAGGACAAATTTGAAAATGTTAGGGCTTTATTCTTATATGTTTTCAAACCGGTTTGTAACTATGAAGAATCTGTGCATTATAAAATTTTTGGACAGTGTAATCAAATTGCACAGTTTTCTGATAATTTGAAACTGCATTGGAATAAATCTTTGGATTCGATTGTATTGGAACAAACCTTTGATCTGAAATAATAAAAGGTCCGAAATAATAAAAAATGAAAACAATTATAGTTTGAATAAATTTAATTTTAAAAATTAAGACATAAAAAATTAACAAAAATAAATTGTATTTATATGCATGAAACTGTAAAATATTTTCGTAAAAATTTGTTCACTAATATAATTAAACATTAGAACGCTAGTTAGAAAAGAACTCGGAAAAGAATTTTCTGTAAATAAAGGATAGTAAAGGATAATATTAGAAAATAAAGGACAAAATTGAGTTTTGAAGAAACAAATAAATTTCAAAGATAGCTACCTAAAATAAAGGAAAAATATTTAAAGGGCTTCGAACGTTTCGTGTTCGGAAAGTTCAAAGAATTCGTGTTCAGGCCATTTACGGTAAATGATTAATATCTAGACCTATTATGGGTCAGGTTGTGTTTAGATCTTTCAGTGTAAATGTAGTCATTAGGCTTGTTCCTTTTTAATTGAATTTTTTGCACAGTTCATCTTTCCTTTTTTCTTTCTACTTGGAGAAAAAATGAACTATGCAAGATGTTCAGCTACAAAAAAACAGATTTATTGTAGTTCGTATTGATATTTCACTTTTATCGATAAATGCGCGCGCATTTAACATACAGTTTAACACATTATCAGGAAAAGTAGTTTTGCATCATAAAGAGATGCTGTTTTTTTCAAGAGAAATCATTTTTATTTAAAATTTCCTACGTGATATTTATATATTTTGAATACGCAATTTAAATTTATATTACATAGCGTCAATTATATTATAGATATAATAAATATATAAATAAATCTAATTTAAAAATAGAAAAATAATAATTAGAACATTGTATTGAATTTTGACACGATTTATAGAAACATAGATAGATCGTCTAGAGCGGATTTTACGGACGAGCTTTCAGTTCGATTCTTCTTGTCAATGACCTTTTACTTTAAACTTTAAATCTGAAGTTCACGCCAATAGTGAAAATCGAGCATCAATCGAGGATTAGCGAGGTTTTGCCGCTTAGTTCAATTGAGTTTCCTTAACGTCCGTTCCGCACGAGCTTCTCCGTAACATTTTGTCTTCATCACAGACTTATATAAGTTTGTGATCTTCGTTACGGTAGCGCGAGCCGGAGACAGCTGACAGCCAAGGGTTTCTCAACGAACTTTTAAAACACGCTGTACTTACGTATACACCCGACAAACTTTAGAACGTGCGCACGTTAAATCACAGTTCATCCGCTGCGTTTTCGCGAAATCCCACGCGACGATAGAGATTAACAATAAATACAGTTTGTTTTGTTTTCGATTGTCGAGGGAGTGCAATGATATATCGTGTGATTGTTTAGCGAGCTAATTCGTGCGGTAACGCCACTAGATTTATAACCTTCGTTTCTAGCACGTCGCCACTTTATCGCTGACATGATTGTAAGTTATGGCTATACACGCCGATTTGCATTTAATTTCTTCTTTTTTCAATATATCTTTCGTTAAAGAGATGCATACAGCAAATGTCACATGTTGAGAAATTCAAGAGTTTATGGCAAATATAAGCAATAATATTAATGTTAAGTTCTCTATGTAAAAAAGTGTAAAGCAAGCTATTTTGTTACGATTTAATTCTTGCTGAGAGAATTTTATCATCAGGAAATAATCTGAAGAATTCTTTTCTTTATTCTTCTAATTTGTTGCAATCGAATGTTCTAATTTATAGTCCTATTCTTTTTTCGAAGAAAATGCTGAATCAGTGTACACTATTTGTTTCACTCCAAACTTAAACTGCATCAGTGTATATCAGAACTTTCTTTAAAAAAAAACAGGATCTGCATATTGTTATTTTAGATTTGTTTTCTATAGCTGAAACTAATATACACTTTTGAAATTCAATTTAAATGTTTGATATTTGATGAAGCAAGTTTAGTACAGAAAAGCAGATCTCAAATTCCAGAAATATTTTCAGTATTTTACATTTGAAGTTTTGTTCCAAGATTTACTCGATAAATATATATATAAAACATTAAATTAAAGATATCATTTTTTAACGCTGTTAATTAATTTTATCGTTTTTACTTACAATAAATTATAATAGCAATTTATATATGATTGTACATTAATCTATGTATCTTGCGTTGTAATTGATGTCTGATGATGCTGTTGAATATCTTTCAGAGAGCTAAATATCACGATCGTGGAAGAGGTGCCGTCAACATGTCCTCAAGAAACATTTCTTCAGAGCGTCGCTCGAAGTCCATACTCAACAGAAAAAAACCCGTATCCGCAGGAACGTTGCCGCAAAAGACGCGGTCTTCGAAGAACGAGGACATTGTAAAAAGTTGCGCGACAAAGTCACGAGGTCTTCGCGGGCGGCGACTTCTTTCGCGAAGAGAAAATAAAATGTGCGATGACGCGAAACACAAGGTTCGCTTATCCGACGAGACCAGCGTCGCCAGCGCGGGCAACAATGATCTGATTTACATTTTACGGAAAGAGATACACGACTGGAGAGTATCCGAGCAATTAACGGACAGATTTGAGCGCGATTATTGTCTTATTGAAGATGAAATGGAGAAGAGTTCCATTCAAGGTAAAAAATAAATAATAACAATAATATATTTAATCTTTACTCGCGTGGTCTTTTTAATCTATTATGTGGAGTGTTTAAAAAAATATAAAGATCGTATATTCCTGATAAGAAAGTTAAATGTACTCACGTTCGCTGCGTTAAATGATCAATGGCAGTAGAACTCGGTAATTCGTGAAAAACATCTGAATCTGATAATCCTTAATGACTGTTTCACTGTTTTCTGAAAATTATAAAAATTTATTATTAAACGTGCTGATACTCCATATGAATAATATCGTTAAAAAAAAATAAAACTATATCTCTATTTTCATTGTTTCTCTTTGATGATTTATAAGACACAAAGATTGATAATGTTCTATATATTCTTTAAAGATAAATGCATTTTTTCTTAATTGACGAACAATTTGTGCTAAATATAATATGTATGAATAGTATACATTTTATTGAATTTATAATATGAAATGTCAATCAGAATCTGATTATCTCAACTAGAATTATAACAAATTCAATCAGAATATTCTGATTTGTCCAACCAGAAATTCCGATTGATTCCAACCAAATTTTTTCCAATCTACATAATAACGTTTTGAAACAAATGATTATTATAATCTATATAATATTTTTTAATAAATTTTTTCGAATCATGTGATGTAACAATATGACTTTTGTGATATAAGAAATTATAATAAGTTGTATTCTTTATAATTCTTTGTTATTTGAGAGTTTTATGCTGAGGATGACTCGAAACGTACGAAATTGAATTTACCTATTTTTAATAAAGTATTTCTAGTAAAGTTTTTTTACAATTAAATAATTATAATTTAATAATTATAATTTGCGCACCTGTTGATTCCTTGTAGCCTTTATACTACTTATAGTTTAAATTTTGAAGAGTCCGAAAAGTGATATTTTAATTATTAATGTTTTCAAGTTATTTGATTTTAAAATAAAAAAATGTAAAATTATAAAACGCATTTAAATTAAAATATGAATTAATGAAATAATTATTAAGAATTTTTCTCATCAAGAATTCCAAAGATTTATCTTAATTTTAAGGAAAACCGTTTAATAATAAATTTTTATAATTTTCAGAAAATCGTGAGACAATCAAGGATTTATCAGATGTTCTCCAGGAATTACCGAGTTCTATTGCCATTGATCATTTAACGCGACGAACGTGAGTACATTTAACTTTCTTATCGGGAATATGCGATCTTTATATTTATTGAAATTTTATATTTGTTTACGCGAAAACACGCATGTGTTTCATAAAAATGAATTATTATCCTAGACTATATGTTGAAATAATCATATGCGTTTATTTATGATTCTAACAATTATACTTTGTAATACATCGCGAGAAGTAACAGGAAATGACAATCGCAGAATTTGCTCGATTGAGTAATAAAATCCTTTCTTTTTTTAGACACGGTCAGATTTTATTTCGACAAATATCACATATGATATCCAGTTATCATCGACGCGTAATTCAATCGATTACATCCTGTATTCATTTTTCTCCGCGGCGATAATTGCACAAACGACTTTTTCCGTCGATTGTCGGAACCGTGTCCAGTCCACTCGTTCGCGTAGCGCTAGAGTTATCACGGTGCGAGTTATTTTCTCGCCATGACTTACAAGCCCCGGTTTTTGTCCGGTGCGGTTCACCGGCGTGTTGTTACCTGCCAGTGATTTCTTGTCAGTGTCTCAGGTAAAGCAATGGCTCGAGAAATGAGGTAAGTGAGTAACATTTCCGCTTGCAGTGCACGTGTGATGCATGCGACACACATCGTTTTTACGACTATATTTTCACATACGTTTTTTATAAATATGACTCTGATATCGATCGAATTGAACTGATTAAAGAGAGAGAAAGAGAGAGAGAGAGAGAGAGAGAGAGAGAGAGAGAGAGAGAGAGAGAGAGAGAGAGAGACTTGCATTTATTAAAAGCTCCGCCATTGATCATTTAACGAAGTACATTAAATTTTCTTATTGGGAATATGGGATCTTTATATTTATTGAAATTTTGCTTGTTAATATTCCCTCAGGCGCACAAAAAATATTATACATTGTCAAAAATGTTCAGTTAAGTATAGTCTTTAGATGTCATGAATCAATCAAAGAATCATATTAGCACCTTAAGACATTATTTAAGACGATTTAAAATAAGAATAGATTATGAAAACCGCTCTCTATAACATTTAGCTCTTAATTTTTATTACAAAATGCTAAAATCTACAGTTGGAAAAATAAAATATTTGAACATAGAAAAATAAAAATGAGAAATTATTAGATAATTATATAAAAAGAGAAGAAAATAATATA